AACTCGGCTCGTTACTGGATGTGTTGTGTCATGTAGTTTAGCAAATATTTGACCAGTTTTACAATCTAAAATGGACAACGCCATGGTGACTGACTGGTCAGAATGAGGTAATTCATTCTGGACCAAAGTGATGGACTGACCGACAGAGTGCCATCCCTAGAGCTGTGCCGCTAGTGTTGCTAAATCAGCTAGTGTAGTGATCGTTTGTGAGTGTACATAATGTCCTTGACTCCATAACCTGTGTCACTGTTGTGAAAAGTTAAGCAGAAGTACTTAAATTCCTAATACCTAGATCTCTGTGATGGATGTGGGGGCGTCAGGTCAAACGACCTCCGGATAAATGTGGATGTGTGTTGCCAACTCTCAAAATTTAAAGTTGGCTGTGTAAACAGATCAGAAGCGAGACTTTTGACTTGCTGTTGCCGCCAATAGCGACTGGAATTTAAAAGAAAAAAGAGGAAATAAGAAAAAAAACAATGCAGCCTTCAGTACAAATATAGAATATATTGTATTACAGCCATTATTGGTGAGGATAGTCAAATAACTCTGTGCTGTCCTTATTACAATGATTCATTGTTGCTATTTCTTCATCACTTATACTGACTGGTACACCTCTTGGTTGTGTTTGTGTTGTGAAACCCTCGCTTATGGTGTTGTTGGTTCCCTGCAGAGACATAGCCAGCGCCATAAAAGAGCTCCTGGACACAGTCAACAATGTCATTAAGAAATATCAATACCAAAATCGCAGAGTGAGTAACAGACACACACACACACACACACACACACACACACAACACACACACACGTGTATGTTTCTCACTTTTTCCATGTTAAAAAAAAAATGTTTCTATGTTTTTTTTTCTCTGTTTGTGAAGGCCCTGGAGCACCAGAAAAAGGAGTTTGTGAAATACTCCAAAAGTTTCAGCGACACCCTCAAAACATACTTCAAAGATGGAAAGTAAGTGTCAATTCATAGTTTTCACGTGACATACGCGGTGACCTGGAGGGCATAACAACAGACCAAGATAGTGGCTGACACCGATCTCCCTCGCAGAGATGCCGTAAAAGCCGTTAAATTTTATTTGGATCATCTCTCAACTCAACAAGAAAAGATAGATTATGGTCACAAACTGCAAGTGTTGGGCACTTGAGATCCATATACAGCACCAGCTGCTGTATTTCCGCCGTTAAAAACCGCAGGTCCCTGCCAGCGCTCGACCGTGGTAATGTTTACATTTACCTTGTGGGGAATCCCTCACCTGACACAGCTCAGGCTTGTCTCCTTGTCGATTAGTGCATCCAAAAGCACAACTACCATCTAGCATTTTGGCAACACAAAAACTCAAACTCACACAAACTCACAGTAGCGGTGTATCACTTGCTTCCTGGTTAGCGGGCAGCGGAAAATAACGTCTTTTTTGCCCTCCAAGGGAGCGTTTTCCTTGGAATGTGACACCACATGAAAACTATGATTAGTCCAGTCTTCTATGATATGCAGATCTGCAAGTGCAACCAATATATATATATATATGTCTGGATATATTTCCAAAACTATCATCATCAGCTGTGCATTTGTTATAGGTTGGAAAATCTGGAAAAAACATATCCCTGGTCGCCATTCACTTTAATTATGGTGGGTTCAGTTAATTTTACAACTGACCTATCTCAATGTTAACGAAAGTGAAAAATCATTTGTTTACGGTGTTTCCGCCTTGTGATTCGGATCCGTTACAAAATTAAATGTGTTCTTCCTTCGTCCACGCTTCATGAGAATCGGAGCCTGTGGTCTTATCATAATCCTACTGTCAAACAAACAGCACTGAAAACCGTAATCTTCAAAAGAACACTGTTTATTGTTGTTGGTACGTTAACTGACAACTGTCTTAAAAAGCCCCTCTGGATGTTGTGAATGTGTTTGTTATTAATTCTCCCACTCCTCATGCATGTCTTCATCATATCATCTTCCATTGTATCAACAACAGAGGTTTAAGAAGAGAGGACCCGAGGGCAGGAATGTTTGCAGTGGCACAGCTGGTTATTTATTAACTAACTGTTCCCATTCTGTTTCCTCCCCAGGGCGATAAATGTCTTCATCAGCGCAAACCGGCTCATCCACCAAACCAACCTCATACTGCAGACCTTCAAAACCGTGGCCTAGCCATCAGAGACCACAGAGTCCCACCCCCCACCCCCGTCCTGTGGGGAGCAACTGCTAGAACGGTGGAAGCTTGAAAGAGCGCCTGACCCATATATGTAAATTAGAAAGAGTTGATTTTAGTTGGGGGTCGATTCCGTTGAAGTCGATATTTTAGATTCCAGTTCAAGAGACTGAAAAGTGCCATTTGTTTTTTGCAATGAGGATTTTCCAGTCTTGAAATGGAACTGAATGGGCCCAAAGTGTTTGGTTGATTGATTTTATTTGGACAGTTTTAATTTATAACCCTGGTCACATTGGGAGTAGGTGAGGCGAGATGTTTATTAAAGACTAATTGCCATTTTTCTAATATATTCATGTTGATCATTTTACTTTTAGCTTTTCAATCACGGCTACACATCTCAGACCCCATTCAGTGGGGGTGTGTCTCAGTCGTCTATACTGGTTTTCTCTTCTCGGCTCCCTGCTTGTGTCGTTTTGCCATGGTCTGTGCGCGGAGGACTTAGCTGCGAGGAGAGGAAGCCGTGTTGGACATTTGAGAGGCAGACTCAGATTTAATTGTCTTTATTATCAGAAGAAAGAAAGCCAAATGACTTACAGCACAATGTGCGCCTTACCAAGTCCTGTAACATTCCCTCCTCCCAGTGTAATGAAGTGGAGCAAGTCCCTGCAGTTGGGGGATGTAGAGAGAGAATTGAAAGTTCTGTATTTAACTGATATCTGGTTGCAAATGTTCAATAAATAGTTTCCAAATGATGATGCCTTTTTTAAATGTGTCTGAGTCTAGTATGTGTGGGATTACTTCTTTACTTAAGTGAATGGAGTTTGTTATTGTGTTAGAGAGCGTTTTAGACTTTGTTAGGCTCAGGCTTTTTTCATCCTATTTCTATGTTGCCTGAAAATAACAACATACAGGATTCATTTTAAATTAAACAGTTACTCCAAGGTACAACTTATAAACCTTGGTGACTGATAATTCATTTTTACTGTAAGTCACTGTAAGAGCGAATGTATTGCAATTTGTAACATTGTCAGACTCATGATGGACAGTTCGAAAACCTTTCTTAAGTCCAAACCTGGCGTATACATTAACCACAATTCAACTCAACCTCTGACGGTTCAGCCATTTTTATCAATTTTTTATTGTGCACTCCGTGGGACTATGAATCAAACTGCTGTTGGGTTATATAATTTAAGGTTAAGAATCTGTTTCTGTAAATTAACTCTTCAAATATGCTTCAAATATGTCTCCTTTGCTACTTTTATACTTTATGGGATATGCACAACAAATAGATTTTCTTTTTTAATCAAAAAAAGGTTTAAAAAATACTCAGATGGGACCAACAGCTAAGTAATTTCCTTGATACTGCTCTTGTCAGCTGAAATACTGTTTAGTTCCACAGGGCAAAAAACATAGAAGGAAACCATGAAATTGACGTTGGAAAGAAGGGCTCCAGAATAGCTTGGTCAAAGGAGGTGATTCATGTGTAAGTAGCATTATACTGTTGACACAGTGGTAATAACTTAAGGTTACTTAGGATAAACCTTTTTTGATACCCAGAGGGGAAATTTGGGTGGTGCAGATAAATAGTAAATAATAAAACTAGAATAAGAATAGAAGTAAAAATATAAACTATACAAGAGCAATTAAAGGTAAAGTTACGGTGTTGTGATAGAAGGTCTTGTATATTTGTAAGTAGTGTATACCAGAATAATATAGAAATTCATTATTAACATACTATAGTTCATTATATAAGATATAGTATCAGGTGCAATGTGTATATATAGTGTTGGGTTTTGTAATCCATAACAACGTTGTGAACTCACATTTTCTCTGAAAATCAAGCTATATAAGTCTTAGCTATATAGCTAAGTCTAGCTATGTAGCTGTCATTTAAAGTACAAAGTACAACCTTCTGGGGAGCAGAAGTATAAAGGGGCGTGACTGGGTATTACTCAAGTTAAGCTCAAGTAGTGCTCTCCCTCAGTCAGCGTAGTGTTCCACCTCTGGCATGTAATACATGAGGAAGAGTGTTAAGAGATTGAGTGACTGGGAATGAGCAACACTATTCTGCTGTCTGCCTCACTGATGTCTGGTCATGTAATCAATACTGAGCTGTGGAAAAAATCCATTATCTGCATGCAATGTGTAAGTGCTTGGGAAACTTGTTCCTACAAAAGTAGTCAACTCCACTTTCTGTAAAGGAAACATTTCTGACAGTGAAAAAACAAACAACAAAGAAAGACGGATTGTTAAGTGTGTTCCTAGAGGTAGGGTGGTTCGTGCAGTTTGCAGTGGTGTGAGCTTTAGGTCAATGTTTAATGAAAAATAAGGAAGCTGTTGAAACTCCTCAGGCATTTCACTTTTTTGTGTCTGCACAATGTCTCAACTAATGTTTGAAGGTATCAGTGTGAAACAGGTTTTCATTCTATACAAGGAAATGATTTACTTGAAACAAGAGTTTTTTATTAGTTCACAATGCGCCAGCAATTTATGAACCAGGAAGTAAAAAATATGCATTATTTTTAAATATACTTCAATGTTCACAAAAAGCAAACAAATTAACAACAATATGCCTCAAGTTGATTGTAAGCCATTGATACCTCCCCCATTTAGCAGAAAGTAAACAGAAACTCCCCTGAGTCGTCTGAATCCAAGGGCGCTGGTTTGGTCTCCACACTTATTAGGACACATGTAACCCAATACATGATTGATAAGAATTCAAAAGGTGTTCCTGATTCTTCCCAGCCTGAAAATATCAGTTACACTTCCTTTAGGTACACCATTTTTATAATATACACACTGTTACAACCCAGCTCGTTAGGGTAGGGCAGTAACAAGGTATTTGGGTTAAATTAAGGTGGTAAGGACAACTGAATTCAGGTTGAGTCGAAGTTTAATTAAATGAGTTGTCTCCAAAAAAAACACAACAAAAGGAGGCTATGTAGGTACTGACAAAAAAAACACTTAACAAAAGGAGGTCAGTACCTACATGCTGTACAGGAATGTAGTGTAACCAAACAAACAATTTTCCCCCTTAAAGGGTGCCACTCACACTCTAGTTCACAAAGGTTTTTACTGACAAGAGTCACCTAAGCCGGCAACCGACAAACAGATCAGATTTAAACACTCAAGACATTCACAGGGGTACACAACCAACAACAAGGCAAACTGATCACTGGCTCACAGTCCCCTCGAACTGCAGGAACACAAACTATTTGTAGGCCAGCTGGAGTTGATTGGTGAGTTCTGGTTGGCAGGTTCGGTAGGATCCTCAGCCACACCAATCAGACGCCAGCAAACAGCAACCAGGAAGTGGGTGGTTCCAGGTCCAGGGGAACCAATCCTCGACAGGTGCTTGCCGTGGGGATTTGCATACAGCTCAGAGAACTCCAAAACACAACTACTCTAAAGGCAGCCAGTGGCGGCCTTAACAACACTCACAGCTGTTTTCAGTAAAATGGCTAACGAGAAACCCACTGTGCACTGCACCTGCTCATCACCAAATGGCATACAGAAAAAGTTAGCAACAAGCTGGTGAACGTAATGGAGTGTGGAGCAGCTTAAGAACCAAATATTTCCCATTGGCGGAAGAGATGTTACATGACTCACAACTGTAGCACATCTACTGCTTGGATTGGCCCGTACAATCATCAGTACAAAAGCTTAAGAACTGCATGTGATTCTTTGACAAACTTAAAGGTAGATGTTAACTAAGGCATAATTTTGTGACTTCCATCTCTAACGGTGGGCGGAAGCTAAAGAACATTTTGAGAAAACCGAAAACCCTGCTTTAATCAATTAACTTTTAAATTCTGGTTCACTCCTGGGTGAAGCATTTACATGACAAAGCAGCTTTACATGATTAGTGGGGTTAGCTAGTCACCCCAAAATCACATTTAACTGGGATTTTGACATAAAAACTACAAAGTTTTTTTGACACATATTTGGCATGTAACAAAAGATCAATGATAATATAATACAATTACCGATTAGAAATAGGAAATTGTATTATTAATGTCACTGTGACCTGCTGCAGAGTTCAGTAAAGGTAACGATCTCTACAGTTCAGAACCTTTTACTCATTTCTAGAAGTTCAGATCCTTCAACATGAAGAAAAATCAGTGTCAAAACATGTAATTGTGTAATTATATTTTAAAAGGTAAACAGGTTATTTGAAAAAATAAGGTCAGGTCATACATGTGTTCTTAATGCAGCTGGATAGCACTGTGGCCTCATAGTAAGAAGGTTGTGGGTTCAAACCCCTATCTTCCCAACCTTTTTGTGTGGAGTTTGCATGTTCTCATGGGTTTCCTGTCCACTGCCCCCTTGAGGGATGGGTTAAATGCAGAGAATGGATTTCGCTAATAAATAGAAAAATAAACATATGAACATCCCTTTAATCAAAAGCATACCCCTCACTATCTTATCACTTGGGTTCTTCAAGAAACTTTCAATTTTTATTTGGTCACCCTAAGACTGTTTTAGCCCAAACACCCTGGAGAGTCCATGTGACAGCAGTGACTGAACAGAGACACACAAAAAAAGTAATTGCTGCACAAAAATAATCTTCCGAGTTGGAATGGAGGTGAAACACACATAAACCCCACTAATTTTCTAAAACAAAAAGCCATCATGCTATCAGAATAATTCAGGATACTTCAATTACACAAAAATTCTACACTTAGTGGCACATAATTGCATAACAACTTTCAGGCCCTTCAAATGAAGAAGAATAGCTTGCCAGTGTACATTTGATTAAGTTACTGACATGACCACAAACTGCCCTCGTGTAACCTTAACCCTCTTCTTGTCAGTTCATTAGTGAGAAAATACAGTTTGACTGCACAAAAGCTTTTACAATGTTTTCCACTATATCCAGTATTGATTAGGGTTTTTTAAGCAGAGCATGCGGCATGGCTCAGGGGATGACAGTGTCAGTCTGTCGGTCCACCATTTTGGTCCAGACTCAAAATTATTCAGTTGGAGGGGTGGTGCAATTGGTTACGACCAGTTAGTCACACTCATAGCACGCAGTGAATCTACAGTTCTTCAAAAGTTTAGAATTCTTCATATATTGAGCAGCATTTAAAATCAGTGTAGAAGACAGCATTTCAGAAAACAAATTACAACCAAAACCACCACTCAGATCCCATGCCCAGATTTAACCAGGATGTTATTAAATGTCCCCACTGGCGAGGGTGTACATCCATAGTCGGACTGTTTGTCCATCAGCTCTGCCCCTCTGAGCTTAGCAGCCCAGCCCTCTTCAGTTCTCTGTCCACATTGGGAATCAGTTGATTGCTGAAGTCCCACAGTCGTTTGTCCACATTGAGCTGCTCCAGTGTTAACCCCCCCTGCAGAGCCACGCGGACGTGAATGATCCGACAAACGTCTAGTGGAACCTTGTACTGTTGTCCGAAAGCCTTGAGCACTTCATGCACTGAAGTCTGCTCCACCATCCTGTGATGAGACATAAATGAGTTCAGTGAAAATGTCTCTACCTTCATTTGCCAAGACAGTCAACACAAAATAGAGGCTTGCCCAAACAAGTAGTGATTTGTCAATCTATTGTGTTTGTCGTTAGTTTTAATAAAAGATGTCCTAGAGGAATAATTATTTATTGGATTTCCTTTTAGTAACAATAAGGTCACTTAATCAGTGCACCTGGCGATGGAGAGGCATCAGTGGTTTTTGTAGCTTTCTTTTTGTGTGCAAGTCTTATTATGTCCAAAGCAAGGTAAGGATTACAACCCTGGTTTATAAGTTTTAACTTATAGCGGCATTACTCCTTTGAGTTTTGTTGATTTTGTAGTGTAGTGTGAAACTGGTGAGTAGCGGTTGTCTCGGGGCACGTCCATGGTTTCTGTGGGGGTTCCCAATAAGCTGGTTGCTTCTTCAGTTCATTGGATTTTGGGGTGAAAAAAAGGCGCAAAATAAACCTTGTTAGGACTAGGGGTTAGCTTAGTTCAGCGTTTGGTTAGGCAAATAGTAGCAAAACTGTTTGTGATTTTCATTCTGTCCTTTGGGGGCAGCGGGCGTGTTTTGTTCACATTAAATAATATATTTTAATATATAATATAGTATATTGTTATATAATACATGTTCTGCAATGGACTGGCGACCTGTCCAGGGTGTACCCTGCCTTGCGCCTAATGTCAGCTAGGATTGGCTCCAGCCCCGCCCCCCCGCGCAACCCTGTACACAGGATAGGTGGTTGACGATGGATGGATGGATGGATAATATAGTATTTTACAAAGAGAGCCAAATGTTATATATTGGATATAATATTATTTACTCAACCAATGCACTGAGTGTGGGTCCGGAGTGATTAACTTTTAGTCAGACAAATTCAGCTTACCTTGGCTGAACTATCATCTTGTATGGGTGGTATATATTTCTGTTGGGGTCCTCCCTGTAGACGTGCTCCAGAATATTAATTCCTGGCACCCCGTTCCACTGAGGCAGGTGAAACCTCCCACTTGGCTCAAAATGAATCTTGGGGAAGATATGGTTCTCAATCTTGAACACCCCTGTCTACAGAATGAAAAATGGAAAGTGAATATAAATATGAATATCAATTATGGTCCTACAGTTTGGATATTGATGTAATATCTGTATTTCTCAAAAGCACGGCAAAAATACCCTACATTTGGCTGCTGCTGTTGGAGCGAGTTCATCAAAGACATCAGGTCGTTGTGTTGGTAGGGCATTATAATCTCATCTATGTCGTTCAGCATGACGTAGCGGGACCGGTCCATGGATCTGTAAATGCATTCATTAAGCGTGGTCAGCTGGCCAAAGTAGTGCACATCCCCACCGCTCTCTGAGAAGAGCCAGCCACGAGATGGATTCAGATTCCGGTCGATGGGCCAAGGAACCATCTCCACGAAGCCCTCTTGGCTGTAGGTCTGCAACAGGCGGTCAAGTTCTGGGCCGCAGCTGGTGTTATAGATCACCACCCTGTTCACACCCAACAGCCTGGTGAAAAGAGAGGCAAAGGTCACATGATTGGTTTACCCACAACACATTTTCTCATTTAGCTCTAGTAGTATCTAGCCATGTAGTTAATTTTGTGTTTATATGCTCAGGATTTGAGATATACATCTATGAGATTCTGCCAGCAGTACATCTCAATAAAATATAGATAAATAGAGCTAATTTTTGTTTGTGCTGCGCGCGCACCCCCCCCATTTCACATCTAGCTAATGAGGAGTAACAGTCCATAGTAGCAAGTCCAATATTTACTCTTACTTACTTAAACTGTCGACCACTTGGTACCTCAATGATAAATTATTTCATTTTAATTCAGTTATAAATTATGCACTTTAATAGTTCCTCTGTTTCTGCTCAGTTCAAAACTTTTAGCACATTCAAAATTGCTTTTACATATCTGTGTTCTGACATGTCAAGAAAAAAGTTGCAAAGCATGCAAAACTCAGCACAACAAAAAGCCTGTTTAGCTGGAAATGCACAGTGTAAGTTACACTGACTAATAAATAGAGACTGCAGCACTGCAGCTTCTCAAGATTAAAGCAGAGTTACCGTGTGTAACGCCCCACCCCCCATGTGATAAAAAGTTGTACCTGTACCTGCTTCCAGGTACTTTTTTTGTATCACCTCCGTCTGAGTTTCAAGTAAGCTGAGGCAATACTAAAATGTGACGTGAGAAAACAGCAGACTACTGATTGGTCAGAAAGAATCGTCACTATTCACTGCATCATCATTGTGCGCGCAATCAATAAAAACTATTATATTTTACAGTTTTCTTATTTAATTTCATCACTAAATCCACTTCTGAGAAGTTTTGAGGTGAGAAATCAACTGATTTCAAATAGTGACAGTTTTACGAAAAGTGATAGCAGAACAAAAATGTGCTTGAAAGTTTTTGGAGCTCCGTAAGTGGCGGTGGGGGGAAGCCTGTGCCAACCCGCGGGAGGAGCTCTGGAGGCCGGCCAGCCGCCCGCTCATAGAGCCCTTTGCTCCCACCGTCACACAGACCACTGCAGCAACAACGGCAGAGTTAAACACAGCTGGAAGGTTTTCATACCGCTCATCTATCTTTACATTCTGAGTAAGGTTGTAACGTTTTAACTTAAATCAAGAGAAAGCTGTGTGGGTCGCTGGTGTGTGTGTCGCATTGTGTGATGCTGATCCAGTAAATCCGTATGTGTCGTGTTGTTTTTAATACTTTAAGCATGTTTTCTTTTTCTTTTTTTTACTTTAACTCTATGTAACACTAGCTATGTAAAACTTTATATATTCTATGGATACAATTACGTTTTACGGACAACATCGCGGTGGACAACTCGTTTATTCACGGACACACAAGTATAAATCCTACGCACAGGAGTATAAATCAAGCTTCAGACTGCAGACCACTCCCACCCTCCACACACTTGGACATTCCAACACCCCTACCCACCACCATCACCAAGGATCAGGTGAGCAGAGAGCTGAGGAGGCTCTGTCCAAGGAAAGCAGCGGTCCCGGGCAGAGTGTGTCCAAGGATGCTTAAAGCCTGTTTCGCTGAACTGGGGGAGCCACTCCAGCATGTCTTCAACCTGAACCTACAGCTGGGGAGGGTCCCAGGTTCACCATGCACAAGATCCACTGCAGTTTGGATACAAGGAGGTGGAGGATGCCATCCTCTATCTGCTCCACAGGGCCTACTCACATCTGTACAAGGAGAGCGGTGCTGTGAAAATGGTGTTTTTTGATTTCTCCAGTGCCTTCAACACCATCCGGCCGCTCCTGCTGAGAGACAAGCTGACAGAGATGAGGGTGGACCCACTCTTGGTGACATGGATTACGGACTTCTCACAGAGAGACCACAGTACGTCAGACTGAAAGGCTACATGTCAGACACTGTGGTCAGCAGCACCGGAGCACCACAGGGGACCATGCTCTCTCCCGTCCTCTTCACCTTGTACACATCTGACTTCCAGTATAACACAGATACACTCTCCACAGGACAGGGCAGAGCTGTCTGTACTTCTTGAGAAGGCTGGGGTCCCTCAACATCTGCAAAAAACTGCTGCAGACGTTTTACCAGTCTGTGGTGGCCAACTGGACAGACTGGTGAGGAGAGCTGGCTCAGTGGTGGGCTCAGAGCTGGAATCTCTGGTGATAGTGGCAGAAAGAAGGACCCTGGACAAACTGCTGTCCATACTGGACAATGCCCACCACCCTCTGCACAACACCTTCATCGGGCAGAGGAGTGTGTTCAGTAGCAGATTGCTGCAGCCCAGCTCCACCAACAGACTTAAAAACTCTTTCATCCCCCTGGCCATTAAACTGTACAACAGCTCCTAGTCATGGCAGGGAGGACAATAGAAAAAAGAACAATTTCTACCTCCATCTGTACTGTTTACTGTTTTGCACTGTTTACTGTGGCTACTGTGTTAAGTTATTTTTATTTTATTTTAATATAGGTTTAATGTATGTTTAATATATGTATATTTCGTATGCTACTGGATGCTTGAATTTCCCTCAGGATAAATAAAGTATATATCTATCTTCAACAATACGTCGTGGCAGTTGTGTGCGGTGTCACTATGACGACCACCTACATTATCTCTGCAATGGAAAATGGAGCACGGCCAAACTGAGTCGAGTCGAGTTGAGCTGGTACTGGTAATGGAAAAGCACCATAAGCACTGGTTGCAATTTGCAACCCTCACCACTAGATGCCACTAACACTTACACACTGAACCTTTAAAGGAGACCTATTATGCTTTTCCACATTTTATGACTTATCTACAATGTTACAATGTGGGATGTTCATGTTAAACATGGCCAAAGCTTAAAAAAAAAACGAGGTTAACGTATTTAAAAGAAATCAACGGCTCAGTCAGCCTGTTCTGCCCAGCAACAACAACAGCCTGGTAACATGCTTCAGGTCTTGGCCAATCAGAAGACAGTGGACTTTGAATTGGGTGGACTCATAACAAGTAAAATCAGGTTACAGTAGATACCAATGTAAATGTTAAGCCACAAACAACAAAACATCTTATCATTCATTACTCAGCAGCAGGGAAGTCCCTTTAAAAAACATAATATACAAACGGTAATGACTTTGCATGCTATATGGGTTGTTTGAAATTAATTCAAATAAATTGCGTTATGCGTCACATTTGACTTTTCTTTTTTTTCTTTTTTTTTTTTTTTTTAAGTATAAAAGCCCTGCTCAGCAGCAACAGTAACACCTATTTAATGCAATGGATGGATGCTAATTGACTCAGCTCAGTGACTTTGTGGTTTGTGGTGTTGTTGCTGTGCTGACCTGTACATCTCCAGTGTCTGTGCAAACTGAAGCACATTGTTGTAGTCTCCAAACAGGTTGGAGATGCAGACTGTGAAGTTGAACTGCAAGTTTTTCTCCTGTTTCTCATTGGTCTTCTGGTTTCTAATAGGAAGCCAAATCTGGTTAAACTCCCTCACTTTATCTGGCTGAGTCAGAAGAGTGACATGTGTAGCGTTGCAGTTTTGAGGAATCTGACACATGACATCTGTAGTCACGAAGGGGAAGCCAAAGTTGTCTGTATGTTGTAAAATTGTTGTTGGAGTTGTAGTTGACAACTGGCCAGCACAGCAGAAAAAACAGTAAAGGGGCTGGATGGAGTCTCTCCTAAATATGCCAATGATGCGTATATCGAAGCCATTCACTCTCTGGTCCATGTAGGCTGACACCAGTAAGTGCTTGGTGTTGTTGAGGGGGGTGATGGTCTGCTCAGAGACCCGGGAGGGGCAAGTGTTCAGAGGCCCACGTGGCCTTGGGATGGACCTGTATGTCCTGGGTGTTCTCCCAGTGATGAAGAAGATGAGGATAGAGGTAGCAATGAAGAGGAAAAGGACCTTCCCTCTGAATGGGTTTGCCTTGTCCATCCAGCCACATACGAGATAGATTCCCAACCTGAGGCAAAATTAGAAAATCATTTTTAGAGAGGTTAAACATTTGGGGAGCAAAGCAAATGTATTGATAGCTACAGCTGCACCGTGTCATTACTGAAACATCTTGAGTAGGTGTGAATGTGAGAAAGACTTTACTTCAAATATTAGTTTAGTCCTGACTTGAGATGTGCAACTTCAAAGGCAACCTTTCTTAACCTTTTCTTTGTGAGTGATGTTTCACCACCACCTGTATTCTTGATTCAGATGTTGATTTGGTCTCATTTTGTTCAGTCATGTACACACTAATTTTCTGTCATATACAGAGTTACCAGTTTATTCGATTTACTTGAAAGAAAGAGGCAGCACACTTTAGAGAAAAGACTCAGCAAGTCTGAACTCAAGATCAATCACAATCAATTTTAGGAAAAACTGTTGAGATTTACAGAGGGTTAGTGACAGCGCCGTAGCAACCATTGAGACACTTCATGTGAGTCAACAAGAGTTTACGTTCTATGTTGACATATTTTGTGTTGTTAAGACTGATTCTCATGTTTAGACTAAGTAGCGTAAGATGTAGGCCAAAAAGGTAGGGCTGACCCCCGAATAGTCTGATTCAACTGTCAATCTTACAGTCGAAGCATGGCAGCGGAAACAAAGATCATTTCATTTTGGTGAAATGGGGGTGCTCAACATCTGATTTTAGATAGAACTACCAGTTTTCGCCCAATAAGTTAATATACAGCCTATTACAATATACATTTCAATGTTTAATGGTGTAAATAAACATGTAAAAAGAATAAAACTTTCAATAAATGTTTTTGAAGTGCGTGGCGTGTATGTGTGCAGTGGTAGTGGAGGAACCGCGACGTGCATGTAGTTAACGGCAGCAGTAATGCACGTAAAACTCTGCACAAGACCAGTGAATGACAGGCACGCAAGTGCAAGTGAACGAGCAAGAGAGAAATTTACAGTGTAAGTTCAATAAATAGAGATTGCAGCTTTGCAGCTTCTCAAGATCAAAGCGGAGCTACTGTTGCGTTTTCAGATTTTGAGAAATGAGAGACTTGGTCCTATTGAAAATTAATAAAAGATTTAATTGCAAAATTGGTGAATAAACAATGGCATTACAGAAGAAACAAAAAACACTGCAGTGGACTGAAGAAGCTTCTCTGTAAAGATTCACAGATTCTAGTCAAGTCCTAACAGACTGAGCTAAAGCCCCCTCCAGCAGAGGACTGAAAAGCTGCTTCTCCTCCCAGATCCACAGCTTACAGTCCCGATTCTCACAAAAGGAATTGTTAATATCTTCCAGGTATGTGGGCGGGTCCTTTTTCCTCCAAATGTCTTAGGTCCATAGCCACTCTTTGTTTGGTTCTTCTTCTTCGTCACCCAATTAGGAAGGGTGTACCTTATTGTTCTACGTTGCTTTTGGTTGAACAAAAGAGCGCCGATCCTAGACGTGACAACCCCTTCAATCTACAGGAGTAAACAGTCTTTTGCTCTAAACTAATCACAGAGAACAGGGCTTGTCTACAAAACAATCAACACCTCATTTTAGATGTCTGCGAAACAGTTAAACAAAACAATCCTTCTGGCACTAAAGAAAAGGTGTCAGTTTCCTTCACATTACAAATAGGAGCTAGACAATGGTTTAATTAACATTCTAATGCAATTGTCTGGCCTAAAACCCCGCAGTTTTACATTTGAAGAAAAACTGAAATACACTTGGTAAAAACTTTGTTGTAAAATTTTAAACTTTACAAATCTCTCCTCTCACACCATTTATTGGTGTGAAATCACTATTAGACTTAGCATAACTATAATTATGTCATTGAAAAACAAAACAAACAAAAAAATACACATCAAAATATGACCCCAGAAAATGAAGACATTTTAACAAAATGGAAGTTGTAAAATCAAATCATGATTTAAGCAAAGAAATCATCTTCCTCTTCTCTGACCTCACTATCTGACTCCCTTGTTAGCATGAGTTGAGCAATCCTCCTGGATCTTCTAAATCCTTTGATTCTCCAAAAAGAAATCTGTACTGTTGCTGGTGGGTTTGTTATGCATGCAGTACTAATGGGCTGAATGGGGGCTGTGGGTGACCTGTTCTCAGGAGATGAGACTAGGATTATTGTTAAAACTAGAGAAATGATTATGGCTAAATATGGATTTTGTTCCTTTTATCCCACAAAACTCTACATGCCTGAATTTATTCCCTTCCTTGAATTCCATTTTTGTTTTACTGGTGAAACTGTGATTCAAAACAAATGGAGGTAAATGTGAAGTAAGGTAGGTGAGGTAAATGATTGATTGAGTTTTCTTAAACTACCAGAGTCAAATTTTCTGGATCTGCTGTGTATAATCCTAATTCATAATGCCAATCAAAAATCTATTTTTGTTCACAGCGTGGCCAAATCAGTTCTAACTTCCTCTATTGATTGGGAGGGGGCTTGGGTGGGTGTACGATGTGTAAGGTGGTGCCAATTAGCTCCTGCTATACCTCCAATTGTTCCTCTTCCTGGGTAGTCATTGGCATCTGGGGAGTAGTTGGGTGACATGTTCCTCCCCTCTTCCTCTTTCCTGTGTTTGGTGGTCCTCTTCCATTTGAGGATTCTCTTCCTCTCTCTAGGCCATAACGCACTCGTGCGTGTAGACCTTCGAAAGGACAAATCTCTGGACCAGTGTTCTAGCTGTCCACAGGTGTAACAGCCAGTGAATCCTGTTGTCCTGGGCTTATACTGTCCTGTTGATGGTGGTTTCTGGTATTGCATGGGGTATGGTTGCGGATGAACTGGTTGTGTTGTTGGCCATGGTGGCCACGTGGGTGAAGGTGTGGTTTCTACTGTTAGCTTTTTCCATTGCGGCAGCTTTGGCCTGTTCAACCGCGTCTTGTATTTCTCCTGCAAATTATCCCATTATCATTTGTTTTTCGGGTTTATTTGTCTTTGCTTTGTTTATAAGGTCGTCTTTTTCTGCTACTTGCATCTTCAGCAGTCTTTTGTTGAGGGCCTTTAACTCTTCATCATGTTCATCCTCTGTTTTGTTATATCTGCTGCAGTGATGAGTCAGTTGGAGTCGCCAGTGTTCTTCATCCATGATGTTGAGTCCCGCAGTGTCATTCAATTTGGCTTGGACTGCTAATGGGAGGGTCTTTATCACGGTCTCTGCACAGCATGAGATTGGAGGTGGAGTGATCATAGCGTTCACCAGTACTTTCTAACCATTCATCCTCACACCTTCTCAGAAAGACATGCAGTTCCTCCTTTTTAAGGCTGTCCAATCCAGTAAGGGATCTTAGGGTAGGGAATTTATCTCTTACTGCCTCCCAGTAGACATTTCTGTACCTGTTGAAAGGTCATCTGCTTCAGTGGTGCATCTGGCTATTCCATCCAGTTCACGGACTCAAATATTTCCTTCCATGCGTCTTATGAGTGCTTATATGTCTCCCAAACAGAGCTGGTCTCCTGCTGTGCATTTCTCACATTCGATGATCCATCTTTGTCCTCCTTTTTTTAGTGGTGGCAGTTTGGTCACCACTGCTTCCATGTCCCTGTGTTTCCAAGGCTGATAGACCTTCGCTCCTCCTCCTACAGCCACCAGGGTGTATTGTCCCTGTGTTGTGCTTTCTATGTGGGATCGGGTGTGGCTTGAGATGGGACTGTTCAGGACTGCTCCTGCAGATGTGGTTTTTTAAACTCTACACTACTGTGTGTAACCCCCCCCAATCACAATTGCCGTGCACAAACAAAGAAGGTAAAGCCACATTAAAAGAAACATAATATTCAGCACACAGCGGTGCACTGAACTATATGTAAACATGCTCACAGTGAAAATGCTAGCATGCTGATGTTGAACTGGTATAATGTCTATTATGTTCACCATTTTAGTATTTGCAAATTAGAACTAAAAACCAAGTATAGCTGAAGCTGATGGGAATGTCATAATTTTTGCAGGTATTTGTAATAAAACAAACTATTGGACATTCCTGAACATTCCTGCCCGTTAATGGTGCTAGATGAAGAGTTAGGGGATGACCAAAAGTTAACTACATTTCATCCTGAGAAGAACATGAATGTGTGTTCCAAATTTCATGGCAATCCATCCACTGTTTGTAGAGACTATTCACTAAAAAACAAATATGTCATGCAGTTGTTGATCTCTCTCTCTCTCTCACACTAAGATAGGTACAGTGGATAGAAAAAGTCTACACACCCCTGTTAAAATGCCAGGTTCTTATGATGTAAAATAATGAGATAAATAATGTCAGAACTTTTTCCACCTTTAATGTGAACAATTCTATAGATAAACAAACTGAAATCTTTGAGGGGGAAAAATGAAAAATAAAAACCTTACAATAACCTGGTTGCATAAGTGTGCACACCCTCTTATAACTGGGGATGTGTTCAGAATTAACCAATCACATTCAAACTCAGGTTAACTAGAAGTCATTACACACCTGCCACCATTTAAAGTGACTCTGATTAATCACAAATAAAGTTCAGCTGTTCTAGTAGGATTTTCCTGATATTTTCTTAGTTGCATCTCCGAGCAAAACCCATGGTCCGCAGAGAGCTTTCAAAGCATCAGAGAGATCTCATTGTTGAAAGATGCAAGTCAGGAGACAGGTACAAAAGAATTTCCAAAGCATTACATATACCATGGAACACAGTGAAGACAGTCATCATCAAGTGGACAAAATATGGCACATCTGTGACTTAACCAAGAACTGGACGTCCCTCCAAAATTGATGAAAAGAAAACTGGTCAGGGAGGCTTCCAAGTGGCCTACAGCAACATTAAATGAACTGCAGGAATTTCTGGCAAGTACTGTACATGTGCCAACTATCTCCCGTATTCTTCATATGAATGGGCTATGGGGTAGGGTGGCAAGATGGAAGCCTTTTCTTACAAAGAAAAACATCCAAGCACGGCTGAAGTTTGCAAAAACAAACATCAAGTCCCCCAAAAGCATGTGGGAAAATGTGTTATGGTCTGATGAAACCAAGGTAGAACTTTT